TTTTTGAGGAGATAATAATTAAATGAAAAGAGAGTTCATATACAAATTTCAATACTCATAAATGTTATTCGAATATTTTTTTTTATTACATCATTTGTACATTTTAGGCAAACAATAAATTTTCAAATATCTTTGACGATTCAGCTAATTTATCAATTATAACATTTATACTTGGAAGGCAATCTCCTTCCACGGCTGAAAGAATTTGGCATTCCAGAAGATCTTGAATTTTTAGCGAATAAGAATTAAAAACGTTACTTAATTCTTCTAAAAAAAATTTTTAACGTTTCTTTATAAATGATATTTTTATAGTTTGTTTTTCTTTTCCTTTTATAACAAAATTTGAAAACCCCTGCACCCCGAGCCAGTCCGGCCCTGGTAGCTATGTAATATAAGTACCTGATTGGTTAATAATGGTTTTAAATTTTATCAATTATGAGTTGGATGTCACCTTTTGAACGTATTTTAAAGCTATTAACTAGATACATAATGAATATTGCAAATTTTAAATTGCTTAGTTATTTAGCAATTGTCCAAACGTCCAATGTTACAGTGTTGCACGTATGATTAAAATAAAATGGTGGTCAAATAATTAAGCATTAAGTTTCGGTTTATTTAACCATCATCAGACTGAAAAAATTTTGTGTTTTTTTTTTAATTATAGTTCAATTAGGTTAGGTACTATGTATTTGTTAGTAAGAACGTCCGATATTAAACGTATGATTAAAATAAAAAATATATCATTCTTGTTTTTCAGATGCCTTTAAGAAAGCTATTGAAGTGTATAACCAAATCGATATTGTTATTAATAATGCTGGCATAGTGGACGAAACTAATTTCGAAAGACAAATTGCCATAAACTGCGTAAGTATCATTTTAAAAATGCACCAAACTAATTTTACATTTACGTAAGCTAAATACAACGTTACCTTTGACGCACTAATTAAATATTTTCCTAAAGAACAAAAAAGTAATAAAAACAAACCCGATAACGATCTAGCGTTATTAAGTAAATGATCCTATATTATCCTCATTATCAACATTTTCAATTAGTTAAAATGTGTTTCACTAGAACCGTGACACAGTGAAATTTACTATCACTTATCTTGTTTTATGAAAAACTACTACACTCAACTCAAACAGATAAGAAAACAATAACAAACAAAGTCATTAAATTGCCTATGAAATCCCTTTCAGGTTATCAAAAGTGCAATAACATTTCTCTACTTGTGTATACTTATACTCATTCACAAGCCACATTAAAATTAAATAAAAATAAACAAAAAATATATATCACCGATATAAGTACATAATTCAAATGGAATTTCAAAAATTAGTATATTTATTATTTAACCTAGGTACTTATTTTTATGGCGTTAAAACACGAAAGCAAGAGGGTCCGTTCTTTCATTTTAGTGATGAGCAAAATTGGGCTTGGTGTTGCAGTTTTGGTCTTGGTGGAAAATGCAAGAGACTAAGACTAAGACCACTACTGTCTTTATAGATATTAATAAGACCAAGACAAAGACCAATAACCTAGACCGAACGAACAAGACCGAATATGCAAGACTAAACGAAAAATGATCACTTCCGACGAATTTATGCGTTTTAATGTCAAAAGAATCGCCTTTACAGAATTTCACATATATTTTTCCATTTTCCTACAATCGTTAACCCAAAAGCTCAATTTTCCATCTTTTCTCCAGCTAATAAATAATAGAGAGATTCACAGACATACAAAACATACATACAATATTAAGTTAAATTCCTAACCGTTAATTTTAAATTATATTGTTTTTTCTAGGATGGCAGTCAAATAATTAAACAACTTTATGTTTTTTGTTTCGGTTTATTCAACTATCTTCAGACTATAAAAAAATTGTTTTTTTTAACTTAAGTATAGTTCTACTAGGTTAGGTACTATACATTTGTTAGTAATTTTACTAACATTACTGTAATTGATAGTCAAAGAACATACAGGTCTGACGAAGGAAGCTGGCGAGCGGTCGCGCAGGTCCTTGCCCATTTATGATCTATTTGGGTAAGTCACTTGGAACCGATACACAAATAAGCTTTCAGTAGGCGTAAATTATAGTATTAATACAGATAGGACAGTAGCGTACTAGAAAATAATGTAAAAACATGACTTATCAAAAAGAAAAAATTAACCTATTGCTTTTGTTTTATAGTTAGTTTTCACATTCACTCTCATCATGGGAATCTCTATCACTGTCACCAACATCAACAATTAGTTCTTCTGTTTGTCTGTCTGTTACTTGCTCACTGATCCTTATTTTTAAATATTTAATCTACGCCCCTGATAGGAATACTGAAGAATGAGGGCTGCAATCTTTATACCTAAAACTGCCTACTTTTGCCACCGCGCATCCATGCCATTTTAAAATTTCCGCCAGCTTCCAGCGTCAGGCCTATACCTTTTACTAACAAATGTATAGTACCTAACCTAGTAGAACTATAACAAAAAAACAATTTTTTTTGGTCTGAAGATGATTGAATAAACCGAAACGTAACTGAAAACAAAAAGTTGTTTAATTATTGTCCGCCACAATGGAAAATCCAATATATTTGTACATAATGCATGGGCTAAATATTCAGAAAATCAATTTTTCAGGATGCTATAGTGCATGGAACATTTCTTGCAATAGAAGAATATTTTCCAAAATATAAAAGTGGCCATGAAGGAATTGTCGTAAATATAGCCTCGCTGTTCGGCCTGGACCCTGTTTTATCATGCCCAGTATATTCTGGTACTAAATTTTTCGTTATCGGATTCAGTCAGGCTATCGGTTCTAAGGAGCAGTACCAAACAACAAAAACACGAGTTCTGACTATTTGTCCTGGAATAACCGAAACCAATATCGTAAATGAAGCTCCCATGAAAGTCAGAAATGAAGACTGCAGAAAACTGCAGTCCGATGAACTCAAAAAATTAAAAGTTCAACCGTAAGTTAATGTAAAAATCATTTCATTTTATGCTTTCTCATTATTTAGTTTAAAATTGTATGTTTTCATTAGTAGGTGCCTAAGTAAGCCTTTGACTTTAGATCAATTTAATCTCTGATTAAGCTGATTGTGAGAAAGGCATCAAAGGATACCAAAACACGTTTTAGTTTTTGTTTAAAGATTTTATATAAAATTTTAAGACTGATTTTTTAACGTAAACATTCTATATGCAAAATTAAATATAATAAATAATAATTAAGTTAAGATAATACNTCAAATATTTCAAATTATTATGAAATATTCCAAATATTATTAATTTTTAGTCACTGTCTATTAAAACTGTAGGAGAGCACTGCAAATATTGATAATTTGTCTTATCATTATTTTATCATATACAACAACAATGTCTGAAAATAGTAAGACCTAGGACACGATCCTATACCTATATATATTTGGAAACGTACAGATACATTAGTTTTCTTATTCAAATATGTCGTCCGTAGTACAAGGAAAAGTGGCCTTAATTACCGGTAGTGCAGGTGGAATAGGGTTTGCATTCGCTCAGGAACTATTACGAAACGGAGCTAAGGTAATTAAAAAAACTGTATCAATGTCTCTGTCAACTGCACATTAATATAGATAACATTAAAATTATGCAATTGCCTTCATCTTAGGAAAACAGCAAATTAGAAAACAGTACTCATGGCTATCGGTATTTTATTTTAAAAGTATTTAAATATTTAGGCAGTTGAATTAGTGGATGTCAACGCGGATTTGCTTCAGAAAGCCAAAGAACAAATTGCAAAAGAATTTGGACCAGATAAAGTAGATTTCACAAAAGCAGATGTTACTGACAAAAATCAATTGGAAGGTAAACAATCCCAAATAAACATTCCGACGATATTATATTTAATTTTTATTATCATTTCAGCTGCTTTCAAAAAAGCTATTCAGGTATTTAATCAGTTGGACATAGTCATTAATAATGCAGGTATTCTCGATGATGTTAACTACGAGAAAGAAATACAAATTAATTGTGTAAGTTATTTAAATTCTGCCAATACATACTCAATTTTACGCAGAAAAAATTCCTACAGTAACCATGTTTGAAAGATTGTGTGGATCAATTATTCAAAAGACATACAATAAGTATTCTACTTTTAATATTTGTTGCAAAACAGCATAATTCAGATAAGTAATGATCATTTAAGTAATAAGACTAATTTCTCATGTGCATAATATTTATCATTAAAATATACATAATCTCTCGTATTACCCTTAAAAATTACTTTAGGCCAAGTCACTTGGGAAAAGAACTCATTACGGTTCTGGAAAAAGGAAAACCTGGTTCAGTTTGGCTTATAGAAGACAATCAAGTTGCTGGCGAAATTTACACTCCAAATCGCTTTGAAAGACTGAGGAAATAAGAATGCCGATACTTCGAAACTTTTTGTTTAACATTTGTAATCAGTACAGTGTTAAAAAACCATGTAAATTTATGAATTCTTTCTCTTATCATCACATACGATGCATAACAATATTTGTAAAATCATTTATGTTTTAATGAATGCATTATAAGTATATAAACCCACAGCAAGATGCCTTACTGTTTGTGTAATCTTTGACGTTTGTGTTTTTAACTATATGGTAAAAGCCTTTATTGTAATTACGTAATTAGTATGGCAAAAATTGTGCAGGGAAAAGTAGCACTGATCACGGGCGGAGGAGGTGATATAGGTTTCGAAATTACCAGAGAACTTTTTAGAAATGGACTCAAGGTAAAAACTATGTTTGGCAAATTTAAGTTAGATTCCTGACCGTTACTATTAAATTGTGTAGTTTTTTCCAGGGTGGCGATCAATCAATCACACAACTATATGTTTTTTGTAACGTTTCGGCTTATTTAATCATCTTCAGACTTTTGGAGTGTGACTGCTTGTACAGAGATAATAACTTATTAATGTTAACTACCTTTACAGTTCTGTACATCTTTCTATCATGCATATACAGTTTAAAAATAAGTTAATATCTGTGTACAAGCAATAGCACTCCAAAAGTCTGAAGGTGGTTGAATAAACCGAAACGTTACAAAAACATATAGTTGTGTAATTAATTGAGCGCCACCCTGGAAAAAACTACATTATACGTTTAATAAATAATTGTTAAGTTATACTTATTACGTATTTATAATGAGTTATTTCAAAAATAAAACATATTTCAGAAAGACATGTTATCATTTTATTACCGTAACATATTTTAGGGCGCTTCGTTATTAGATATTGACCAAGATTTTCTGCAAGATGTTATGAAGAAAATAGAAAATGAATTTGGTGTAAATAAAGTTCACATTATAAAAACAGACGTGTGCGATCAAGATCAATTTAAAGGTAGACATTACTTAATAAAAATCATTATAGTTCTGTACAACTTAGAATTATTGTTTCAACACCATTAATAATAGTTTCTGGATTGTTTACTGAAATTTTTAATAATTACTAAAGTAAAAATTTGTAGGTATGTTCTTATTAAAGAATAATTTTCTGCAAAGGCAAAATCTATCTTCTCTTTTTTATCATTTTCGATTTACACCACCTATCTACAATTTGCAACACACTCAGAAATATATCAGTTTAATTGATCTAAATCTGTACGAAATTGCCTTTTAGCTGCTTTCGAAGAAACAATAAAAATATTTAAACAACTAGACATTGTAATTAACAACGCTGGCGTTGCAGATGATCTGAATTTCCAAAGAGAAATAAACATTAACTGTGTAAGTAAAATCGATGTTAAAGATACATAGATATGGTTAGCTGCTTCGATAAGTTATGTTGCTATGTTTAGGGTAAGATAAACCCGCATTTTATTTGATATAATTTAGATACAATAAGCTTACAATTTCAGAACAATTGATCGATTAACATTCGTCACATTTTCATCATCGTAAAGTCGCCAGTCCTAGGACTGGTTGGACCCACCTTCACTATTTCCCATCCTTAGCTAATCTCACATCTCACATCCTGCTCCTTCCATCTTGAGTTATCTGACTGAATAGATACCTAAAATTAGTCACTTCTTCTAATTGTTCGTCTCCTACTTTTATATTCACTCTGTCTGTAATTTTTTTCCATGCACATCAGTATTATCTATCCCTGTTTTGTCAATACCGTTTTCATATTATTTAAGGCTATCTCTAACATTTTGCTAGATACTAATACTGCTATTTCTTCTGTAAATCTAAGCATACTAATCTTTTGCCCTTTTGCATATCTATACCTACAGTTGTGCTATCTTTAATGATGTTTTTCGTCACATATTATCCAAAATTATGTTCAGGTCTATCAGTAGGTTTTAATAAGGGAAACAAGGCGTCTTTATTGTTTAAAAAGTAGAGAAATATCCCTTACTCTTTTTAGGGAGGCGTTGTTAGAGGAACTTTATTAGCATTAAATGAATATCTGCCAAAATACAAAAGCGGAAATGAAGCTTACATAGTTAATACTGCGTCGATTTATGGGTTAGATCCATCTGCTGGATTGCCAGTATACAGTGCCAGCAAATTCTTTGTTGTCGGCTTTACTCAGGCTATCGGAGCCCAAGAACATTATGAACGAAGGAAAATTAAAGTTTTAGCTATTTGTCCAGGAGTAACAACAACTAAATTAATCAATTATTGGAAAGCAATCGATAAAGAAACTACAGACATATGTAAAAAGGAATTCATAACACTCCCAGAGCAGACGTAAGTTTACATCAATAAAAGAAAATTTACAAATCATTCAAACAAACTGGAGGTTCCCGATACCTGGCCTCGGGAGTCTCACTCAATGATTTTTATTAAAATATCCCTGTAGTAGTTTGAGTCATATGGATAGTGCCACGATGCACTCTTTACACTTTTGTATTTATATAACAGAAAATATTCAAATCAAAGAAAAATTCAACAAAATCTTACCTTTTTTTCTGTTGTAAAATCTTCGAAACGTAGGTATTGTATAGCCAACTTCGTTTTCTGTAACAAGAAATAAAACATTAATTGATATAGTAAGATCAAATATGAGTCCCCTGTCAGCTGATTGTTTTATTATTTTAGACCAAATCATGTTGGTAAGGAATTGATTACTGTCCTTAGCAAGGGAAAAAGTGGATCCCTTTGGATAATCGAAGCAAGTAAACCAGCTTGTGAAATTGGAAGCCCAAATCGCTTTCAACGAATTTTACAACAGTAAATTCTATTTAGATATGCATATCATTGTATATTCATATGTTGAATTATTATAAAATAATGTTAGCTTGGAAAATCAAATAAAAAGATACAAGTCTAATGAATACAATTTAAATATTTTGGGGAGTGTTAAAAGGGAGTAGCGACATATGCTCAAGTTCTAAAACTACTAACTATCTATTGTTACTTATATACAAACTATATACCACTCTTCTATCCTTAAATCTTATCCCTACGTCCTCGAGTATTTCTCGATAGACAATTTGCCTTACTTGTATATAAGTATACAAGTAAGGCAAAAAGTTAACCTTATAAAGAAAATTTTTAATCTAAGTACTGTATATACTGCTAGTTAAATTTATTCGATTTCTTCTTCGATTGATAAGAGTAGAGACAATATTTTATTTTATTTTACATATTGGTTACATACTAACAAAATCAAAAGCTAGTTATAAAATTTTCAGTAAACGTTTATATTGACCCATGATAACTTTCTATCTTAAAAATTAATAAGATAACTATACAACATCATGTACTCCACTAATTTGTGCATTTATTTCTTAAAATCAAACACTGTCCCGTTAGTTTATTTACAGACATTTGCTTGAATCTAGTTCAAAATACAACATGTCAACAGCAGTCAATGAAAAAGTGGCTCTTATTACCGGCGGTGCAAGTGGTGTAGGATTAGAATTCGTTAAAGAATTGCTGAGAAATGGAATTAAGGTAAATTTTTGTACAAAAGCATTGGGGTATTTTTTATACGTAGTGTTGTAGGGGATTGAAGTAGCAGACATAAATACAGTTTACATACAGAACGCCAAGGAAGAGATCGAGAAAGAATTTGGCATGAATAGAGTTGACTTCATACAAACTGACGTTTGTGATAAAAATCAACTGAAAGGTGATTTGTTCTTTAGATATGATTTTAAATTAAAAAATCGAATATGTTTTACGATAAGTTACTTCGTTCAATCCGGAATTACATAGACTGGAAAAAAAATTAAGAAAATTATTTATATTCATCTGTTCGGTGTCGATGTGTTCATATTTGTTTATATTTTTTATAGTTATTTTAGTTTGTATTTTTTTTGTATATAACTGTATATCATATCTATTACTTGCAATTCTATATAATTTCAAATTTTGTGTTGCAAACAGCTTTGGGCCTCTTTATTACACCCTTCAGGTATGTACCAAATGTTGGGAAAGTCCGAGTTCCCAACTACGTCACGCCAGACTTTCTCTGGGTACCTGAAGGGTGCATAGCAACAAAAGTAGCATTGACCAAGGGGTCTGTTACTAAGAGGCGTGTCCTATTTTGGTGTAGACAATTTAAGTCCTGGACCAAGATAGAGACTGATTATTATTCATTCTATTCAATTACAAGTTAAAACCAAATTCAAATTAAAACAAAACCAAATTCAAACAAAATCAAACTATACAACAATTACAATTCGACTTCAATCAATCAATTTATATTCAAATCAATTTATATATCAAATCAAGAAATAAAGTGTAAATAGTGTAAATAAAGTGCAATTAAGAAAAGCAGTCTATTAATTCGAAGATTAACCAAAAGAGCCTTCGGCGGGATACCGCCATATACATCGCCAACAGATTACAACAAACACATTCAAACATCATCATCAATTATCATCGTCATCATCATCATGATGAGGTCGTCAGTCTCAAGACTGGTTAGATATGCACCTTCACTTTTTCCTATCCTGAGGTAACCTTCGCATTCCCCAAAAACTAGAACATCCCACATCCTTAACTATTTGTGAACGGTAGCTCTACCCCTACCCCTTTTAGCTCATGTTTCTGCTTCTAATAACTAGCTCTGCATTTCTAAGGTGTTCTAGCAACCTACTTCATCTATTTCTTATTGATTTTCATAACGACCTATGTTCTCCTATTCTTTCTAATACTTCTTCGTTTCAAACCCTCTCTATCCACGGTATCCTCATCATTCACTTTGTAGCCTATTCGTTTCCGCCTTGACCACCTTCCACATTTCGTTAAGAACCGTGCAATTTTTGAATTTTTTTTAATTTATATTACGAAAAAAATATTGAGTATTATTTTAGCTGCATTTGAGAGAACTATCAAGGTATATAATCAACTTGACATGGTATTCAGTAATGCTGGCATTGCAGACGATCTAGATTTCCAGAAAGAAGTAGATGCTAACTGTGTAAGTAGTTATTAAGTATTTTTAATAAAAAAATATATATTCTATTCTTCATGGTTTTACAGGCGGAGGTACAATGTAAATTCCTAATAAAATATTC